AACAATGACAAAAAAAACAACAAATAGCCAGGCATTGTGGTGGGTGCCTGTAGTCCCAGCTACTCAGGAGGCTGAGGCAAGAGAACTGCCTAAACCCAGGAATTGGAGATTGCTGTGAGCTGTGACACTGCAGCACGCTACCGAGGGCAATAAAGTGACACTGACTCAAAAAAAATAAAAAAAGGGCAAGACTGAAAAGTACTTAAAGTCAGATCTTCAAAATGTGATGAAAATACTGTTAATAATCCTTTCCCCTTTTTTTCAGACAGGGTCTCACTCTGTCACCCAGACTGGACTGCAGTGGCATTATATAGCTCACTATGTGTTGCCATAGCTCACTACAACCGCAAACTCCTGGGCTTAAGTGAGCCTCCTGCCTCAGCCTCCCAAGCAGCTGGAATATAAGTATGTGCCAAGACATCTGGCTAATTTAGAAAACTTTTTTTTTTTTTTTTTCAGAGATGGGGTCTAAGTTCCTCTGGATTTCAACTCAAGGCCTCAAGCGATTCACCTGCTCTGGCTTTCCAAAGTGCTGGGATTATAGGTGTAAGTCACTGTGCCAGCTCCTCCTTTTTTCTTATTTTGTATCAGCATAGGTCATAACATTACACCTGAGACTTAAAAAACTACAAATTACAAAGTACTGGTTAAATTTCAGCACTGTTTTTTTTTTTTTTTTTTTTGAGACAGAGTCTTATTTTGTCACCCCTAGTAGAGTGCTGTGGCGTCACAGCTTACTCCAACTTCCAACTCTTAGGCTTGAGCGATTCTCTTTCCTCAGCCTCCCAAGTAGCTGAGACCTACAGGCACCCGCCACAACACCCAGCTATTTCTTTGTTGCATTTGTGCTTGTTCGGCAGGCCTGGGCTGAGTCTGAACCCGCCAGCCCCACTGTATGTGGCTGGCACCCTAGCCACTGAGCTACAGGCACTGAGTCTTTTTTTTTTTTTTTTTGAGACAGAGTCTCACTCTGTTGTCCTGGATAGAGTTCTGTGGCATCATAGCTCACAGCAATCGCAAACTCCTGGGGGCTCAAGTGATCTTCTTGCCTCAGCTGCTCAAGTTGCTAGGACTATAGATGCCTGCCATTACACCACGATAGTTTTTCTATTTTTAGTAGAGACAGGAGTCTTGCTCTTGCTGAACTCCTGAGCTCAGAAGACCCACCTGTCTTGGCTTTCCAGAGTGCTAGGATTAGAGGTGTGAGCCACCACAGCTGGCCAAATTAAGTACTGTTATCTTTAGCTGAAATCTTAACTCCTTGTATCTGTGCATAAAAAGCCCCTTATGAGTTAATCAGTTTACCTCCCCTAATCCTCTTCTTCAGTTCAGAATATCATACTTTCTCTGGGCTTCTACATAAGTCTCATTTGACTGAGGACTCTCTAGAGCAGTGATTTGCAACTGGTGTGCCGTGAAAATTTTTATTCATTTATTTATTTTTTATTGTTGGGGATTCATTGAGGGTACAAACCAGGTTAGACTAATTGCATTTGATAAAGACCCTCCTATAATTGTATCCCACCCCAAAAAGGTGTAAAACACCCTGTGACCCCCCCAACCCCATCCCTCCTTCCCTGTCTTTGCTCTCCCCATCCTGTGAAAATTTTTAAAGATCATTAATTAAATTATTTTGAAAGAAGTTCAAAGCAGAGTTAAGTATATTCTTTTTTTATACAAGGATATATACAGTATATCCTTTTTTGGAACAACATAATTTAAGCATGCTATAAAGTTCAACTATAGGTTTAAGTGTCGTGAGATAAAAAAAGGTTGAAAAACACTGCTGTAGGCTCGGCGCCTATAGCTCAACTGGCTAAGGCGCCAGCCACGTACACCTAAGGTGGTGGGTTCGAATCCCCAGCCCGGACCCGCCAAATGACGACGGCTGCAACCAAAAAAATAGCCGGGCGTTGTGGCGGGCGCCTGTGGTCCCAGCTACTTGGGAGGCGGAGGCAGGAGACTCGCTTGAGCCCAGGAGTTGGAGGTTGCTGTGAGCTGTAATGCTACGGCACTCTGCCCAGGGGGACAGCTTGAGGCTCTGTCTCAAAAAAAAAAAAAAAGAAAAACACTGCTGTAGAACAAACTTAAAACCCTCTTGGGAGCAGAAGACAATGGAGTTCAAGAAGGTGAGTTGCCACAGTATTCATAAAGAAAGGGAGACTATGCTATGAGAAATAGTCTGATTTTAATTCTGGCTTTTGAATGGATCTGGATACCACTTTCTTTGTATAAGAAAAGAGCTAATCAAAAATATCCTCAAACTACAGAAAAATGAATGAGGGTGTAAAAATCAGGTCATTCCTTCCATGTTCTGATCTCTAAACTTCAGGTTTTTATAGTCCAAGTTTTCCTCTGTAGATAGCCAAGTGACAAGGCTTCCCTGTCAGATTTCTAAGAACAGAACTAGATTTTCTAGCAGTGCCTTTAACACTGAATGATTTAAATCTGATCCACTGAGTGAGCCTTCAAAGATGATGGCAGAATGGCTGAGGGCTCTGCAACGTCTCTTTGTCTTGGGGTACTTACTGAAAGTGCGCTTACAAAGCCATGTATTCTGCAGTGCTCTTCTACTGCATTCAAATATTACCTCCTCCATAACGCCATGTCCAACAGCCAGGGCAGGTGGCTGCTCTCTTGCCAAAGTTGCCATGTCTTTTCTATGAACCTCTGCTATGACACTGTACTATTCATTAAGGCATCTGGCTTCCCTACCACGTTATGAGTTTCTCATGCCAGAGATCCTGCTTTACTCTATTCATCTTTGTGTCTAGTCCTCTGTCCTTCAAAGAAGCTGTCTAGCACATGCCTTGCTGAGTGAAAGAAAGCACTTCTACCCTAGCTAATTTAATAAAGGAAGGAGCAGGGGCTACTTCCATTTGCAGGTAGGAAGGATATATGTGCACCAGAAAACCCTAGTGATTAGTGGCAAAAAAAAGATAACACCTGGGGAGTTCCAGTGCCCAGTCTAGTACCTCACCTGTTCTGCATACTGCCTCTCAAGCAAGCACTACTCGGCTTTTAATGGTGGAAAAGAAATGACTGTAAGCTGGGTTACATTAGCTCCTTTTAAAACATACTTTGTTTCCTAAGGAACTGTAGTTGGGAGGGAGGGAAGGAGTCAAGATCCTCCAAATCGAAATTCCTAAAGCAAAGCTTCTGAAATCGTCCTTCTCTAGAGAACATCTTTCATTTTACCAAGAGGTTAGGAAACTTTTTAACTTCTACTGTTTTTACTCTTTAGCCTCTGAGGATCAGACAGAACAGACTATGCTTCTGGGCCAGGCCTGGTGGCTCACACCTGTAATCCTAGCACTCTGGGAGGCCGAGGCAGGTTCGAGCTCACAGGTTTGAGACCAGCCTGAACCAGAGCGAGACCTCATCTCTAAAAATAGCTGTGCGTTGTGGCAGGTGCCCATAGACCCAGTTACTCAGGAGGCTGAGGTAAGAGAATCGCTTGAGCCCAGGAGTTTGAGGTTGCTGTGAGCTACGATGCCATAGCATTTTACCAGGGCAACAAAGAGAGACTGTCTCAAAAAAAAAAAACAAAAAAAAAAAACACAAGAAAAACAATATGCTTCTGGTTTGGGACTATACTTTAGATTAGATAACCTTTATCTTTGCTCCTCCCTGGTTTTGTTTCTTAAATAAAACTTAACTAACAAACCTAAACAGCCCTTCATCATATTAGGGTCTTTGTTACATGTAAACCAACAATGCTGCTTCTTTTTTCTCCCTCTGGCTATGATGTCTTTTGAACATCTCACTATTTTTCTCTTCCATCAAAGTAAAATTTATCTGAAAGTTCAGAATAAATCCATATTATACAGGAATTTAGGGTAGCATATTAAATCAGGGGAATAAACATGAACTTTTACATAATTGCTACTAGAGTCACTAACTAGAAATAACAATGCAAAAATAAAAATGTTTTGCTTATTAGGTAAGTGTCCAACCACAGGTACTTTAAGAGAAGAGTTTAAATTCATATGTAAAAAAAAAAAATACACAGAATTTTCCTAATGAACAAAGATCTTCATTTTTTTGAGACAAAGTCTCACTATGTCACCCTCGGCAGAGTGCCGGGGCAAAACAGCTCACAGCCACCTCCAACTCTTCGGCTTAAGTGATTCTATTGCCTCAGTCTCCCAAGTAGCTGGGACTATAGGTGCCTGCCATAATGCCCAGCTATTTTCTTGTTGCAGTTGTCATTGATGTTTAGCTGGCCTGGGCCAGGCTCAAACCCGCCAGCCTTGGTGCATGTGGCTGGTGCTGTAACCACTATACTAGGGCACCAAGCCAAAGATCTCCATTTAGAAAGCAAGATTGTTCCTTCTTTCACATTATATACCAGGAAAAACTCCCAAGAGATAAATACCAAGAAAACAGCACAGGTAAGTTTCCTTATAACCTTGGAGTAAGGAAGAGCTTTTCTAACTATGACTTAAAATCTAGAAGCTGGCTCAGCGCCTATGGCTCAAGTGGCTAAGGTGCCAGTCACATACACCTAAGGCGGCGGGTTCAAATCCAGCCCGGGCCCACCAAACAACAATCACGGCTGCAACCAAAAAAAAGCCGGGTGTTGTAGCAGGCCCCTGTGGTCCCAGCTCCTTGGGAGGCTGAGGCAGGAGACTCACTTGAGCCCAGGAGTTGGAGGTTGCTGTGAGCTGTGATGCCACATCACTCTACCCAGGGGGATAGCTTGAGGCTCTGTCTCAAAAATAAAAAAAAAATCTAGAAGCTGTAAAAGAGAAAACTGATCGGCT